GAAGGCAACCTTTGATAATACATGATTCTGGAAAATGACATCTCAGAGGGTCTCTTACTTCATAGTGAATTGTTTGAAGAAGCAAGTCTTAGGTGTGTTCCAAAATAGGACCCAGTGGGAGATGTGTGTGTGTCAGCGTTTGCAACAAGCACTAAGCTGAACTGACTCCAAGACTCAGGCCACGTGGTCCAGCAGAGCATGGTAGGGTGATAGTGACAGCAAGTCTGAGTTGTACATGGAGCTCTGTGGACAGAAGGCTGCTGCTGTCCTCATAGTACCAAGAATCATTCAGTCATTGCTGACAGTTCTTGGCTCTGATATATGTCTCTCATCTTCCTGTCCTCTTATCATCTCAGTATTAATTCCCAGTCCGGCATTCACCTGACCTGGGAAAAACTCATTCTTAACCTCTACCTGCATCAACCTCCATGCTGTGTGCCAAGAAGCTCCAGGCTTTTGGGGAGGAAGTTGAGCCCACAGGTCTGAGGGACAGCTTGGGAAAGGAATCCTTTGAAAAATGTGCAGCTGCCCAGCACTGCTTCTCCAGGAGGGAAATTTCCTGAAGGCCGGGAGAGCTGGAATGAACGCTCTCCTCAAGCACAGAGTTTTGGTGCAGTCCCTGTGTACCACTGTAAGCACAAAGGAATTTACCACAGGAAGTGTCCCAGCTGTTGCTTATTAGTATTACAGCGCAATGACACAAAGCAAATTGTTAACAGATATGTTTCCATAATCTTTAACTGGTGGCAATAAATAAGAGTGATCCTCTTTCAAGTAAATACTAGATTTCTAAAAATCCAGCTTCCAATTGTCCACGAAGGGATATTGCTGAAGGGATAGTGCTGGATGAGCATAACCTTCAGAGGGAAGACGCTACGGAGTTCAGGTGGCAGTGCCCTTCATGCTGCGGGACGGCAAGCGGGACCACGGACAGCTGCTGCCACGACAGACTTTAACTGGGCAGTATGGTGCAGGAATGTTTGCGCCTCTGGACATCTGACCATCTGCTGGATCCCCGCCCCCCCCCCAGTTTCTCAGTCTGGTCTTCTCATGGAACAAGGGATATACACACATGGCAAGACAACAGGGTGGCCAACCAAACTCAGCTCAGCGTGTTATGGCAGGAGAAAGAAAAAAAGCCACTTTTTTGGGTATCATTTTCCTTAACAAGATGATGCAATTAAAAAGAATCTTCAACATCCTGTGTCTTATTTGAGATTTAAACAGAACTGTGAGGCTGGCTTCACTGGGGAGGAGTGGGAAAGGCACGTTTGTGAGCACACATCACATAGTGCTCACCTATGGCCTTTGCATAGAACACCTGTCCATCTCCAAAAAAAGCAGAGTATCTTTCCAGACCCTCTTATGATGACTATTTTCAAGTCCTTGGTCACTTATGGGCATTTCCAATTTTCTTCAGAGATTTGACAAAACTCTCCTAAAAGAATCTAAAAAAACATTCAAAAACAACTTTAATTTTTAAAAGAAGAAACATTCCCTAACACCATATAAATACAAAAATAGGTTACTGCTGCCTCATGGGTTGGAGCTCTTAGAATAGCTGCTCTTCATTGTTTTCCTGAGAAGTTGATGGTTTTATAGTTTCTGGTTTCCCTCTCAGGCAGTTTCACCCCAGTATCCCTTCCCAAGTTAGTTAATCCTGCATGGTTTCCTGAGGAATTCTTTACTCCCTTTTTTGTCTTAACAGGAAAAAGCCCGACAGTCCTGTTGAAGGGAAATAACAGGCTTATGCCCTCTCTGGTAGACTGAAAAAAGCCCTCAAGACAGTTATTCCCTGCATGGGGTCCCAGTATGGCCTTTTCTCAGGCATCCAGGTCCCCAGGCCTGGCATGCCTAGTCAGCCACTTGACGGGGGCAGGCCCAGAGTCCCAGACTGTCCTGGTCACCTAGCTATCCACAGGATACTCCTGCTGGAGTAAGAAGGGAAACCTAGCAGTACCAGCCAGCTGAAAGTCTACAGTAGGCTCCTGCACATTATAGAGAGACATTTTAAACCAAGCACATGCAATAGCTAGCTCCCAACCATTTCCTAACAGTATTTTCCAACTCCAGGGTCAGGACACACACACACATACACACACATACACACGTGCCACATCTCTTACCTAAAATCTTCTCAGAGGGAATACGTGTTTCATAAAATATTTAAAATGCTCTAGGCAATTCTCTCTCTCTCTCTCTCTCTCTCTCTCTCTCTCTCTCTCTCTCAACTCTCTCGAGATCTCTCTCTCTCTCTCTCTCTCTCTCTCTCTCTCTCTCTCTCTCTCTCTCTCCAAGTGTTTAACTGACAAATGTAATTGGAAATGTTTGGAACATGAGCATACACACTCTTTAATTTGGAATTATGCAAAACTCTTATCATTATTCACCACAACCTGAAGCAAAGGTATCCTGACGGAATAGCAAGTACTGCATGTGCCAAATGTGAGTTCCCCAAGTAGTTCTCATCTGGGCCAGAGTAACCCCCATGGCCTGACCCTATTAGGTCTGTTTAGAGGAAATGGCCTGGCATGTATTACATTTGAGAAGCTGTTTAGCTGACTGGTCTGACGAGATTTTTGAGAGGGATGAAAATTAATTATAATTGCAGTACTGCTACAATGATTTGGTCAGCTCATTGGATTCAGTGCAAAAGCAAGAAGGAAGAATTTGCTTCCGGGGTTAGTCTCTGATATGGCTACATTCATTTCAAGAGTAGTGAGCTTTTGTTTTTTAAGTCAAACCTTAAATATCTTGGCTTCTGCTATCTGGCCACCTTAAGGCTTCATGTGAAATAACACAGCACCTGAGTCACTGTTTGGGAACACACTCCACGTCCCACCTAGACTTGAACTGGGACATCTCTCTTTTGAAAACTACTTGAAACTTCTCCAATATTATTTGGGGCTGATCTTAACTTGGGCAGCAGGAAGGCACTGGTGAGAGTGGGCAGGGCAGTTGGAAACTTAATATTGCAAGTCACTAAGGAGACCTGTGTCCCTGGAAAGGTGTCATGAATATGAGGCACAAACAGCACTGGGCTGTTGTGGGATTTTTCTGGATCTCACTGTTTGCATACTGGCAGTTTTGTGTATGTGAATTGTCTCTGATCTAATTTCAGAGCAGCAGTGAGCACCCAGCATTAACAGTCTTTTGAGGGACAGTGCCTACTCATTGCTTTAATATCTTAAAGAGTCTAATGTCTAATTCAAGGTCATTTTGTCACATGCTACAAACAACAGACATCAGGCTCATCCACAAGATGCTCAAATTCCAGTCACTGGGTACTGGTAGTTCTGTGACATTGTCCTCTGCCGTACCTACCAGCCAGCCACTGTTTGTACATGTAACAAAGATTTTGTTGTAACACATTCTCAAACTTAAAGCAGGCCAGTAGCTGGCACAGAATATTTCTTATGGGCTTCACCTAAATTATAACTGACTTGTAGAGAGAGGTCAATATGAGATCCACCAGGGGCTGCCCTTGAGGCTGCACAGGTCTTGTTCTGAATGAGGCCATCTGGTAAAGAGGTGAGGGGTCAAGAGCCCACCCATCTCCATTTGCCAGCTGAGACTGTACTCAGGCTCCAACCTGAAGCAAGATGTCTTTTTTCTAATTTGCATTTTGGCCATGGGAGACCCTGTATTACCCTTGATCCTCACCCTCCTGGGATTGGAAGGTCTCAAATTCAAGTCTTCATCTCCATCACTGAGAATGACCCCTTTAAGAAAGAGGATGCACTCGTGATGTGGGTGTTTCCTGCCAGTGAGAATAATGAAAAGGGAGGGATAAAGAATAGTGGAAAAGGGGTCGCCCTTCTGCCTAGTATATTGTGGTTCCATCAGCCTTCTTTGGACACAGCTGCAAAGGGTAGAAAATCAATTTTTTCCCTATTACTCCACAGTGAGTAAGGGACACCTACTTGTAAATGGAATTAAACCCAATATGAGCATGTCTGGATATTTGTCAAGGACTAGGAAAACTAGCCACAGATAGAGCTACAGAATCCAGCCACATAACTAGAAATCAACACTCTGCAATTTCAAAGTTAAGTTCACGGATTTTTCTTTTTCTTTTTTTTTTTTTTTTTTCAAGAAACACCCATGACTAAATGCCACTAAGATTCTTCAGTGTGCCAATACATCCCTCAGTAAGGACATCCCAGTGTGCCTTACATCCCTCAGTAAGGACTCTGGGAGGGAAGAGACTCCAAATCCCTGTCTAAACAGAGTGCTGCTTCGATCAGTCAATAATGACTAGATATGAGCTGGAACCCTCCTGATGACAGTGTCTTCCCGAGCTGCAGTCTGGAGTGCTGAGTGGAATTAATCCCTTTTCTTTGTGCAGGCTAGATCTTATAGAAAGCCCAACTGAGCAACCGAGTTCTCAATAAACGCGACTGCAGTGGGTCCTGAAATCTCATTAGCAGTCTGCCCTCTAGTGGAGTGACAAGATACTTCAGGTAGCTAGGCCTAGAAAACATCTATTTCACTCTTCTCTATTTAGAGAGCAAGAAAATTCAACTTTTCAGAATAGTGCAAGGCAAGGCAATCATCCCCAGAAAACAGCTTTCCAGAGCTGAATCCTATAAGGCTCACGTTATAGGTCCCCAGGAGGTAGAAATTGGCAGTGTACACCTGCAGAGACCTGGTCCTTCTCACAACTTTGAATCCTCCAGGGTCTCCTTAGGTGACAACATTCAGTCTCTATCACAAACAGCACCCATAAAGAGTGACCAACATGGGGCTGGAGAGATGGCTCAGTGGTTAAGAACATTAGCTGTTCTTGCAGAAGACCTGGTTTCACATCCCAGCACCCACATGGCAGCTAACAACTGTCCATAACTCCAGTTCCAGGGGACCTGACAGCCTCTTCTGTCCTCCACGGGCACTGCACGATACAGGTGTACTTACCTACATGCAGATAATACACGTATACACATAAAATAAAAATAATAAATAAAAAATTAAAAAAAAGAGTGACCAACATATCAAGAATGTTAAAGGTAAAGGGCTTTTTGTAATTTTTTAGCAAACCATTAATACAAATGAATTTTTCAAAGAGGGCCACGTGAAATGTGTAAAAAGGCAAAGATGCACGCATTTTATAAAAACACCAAGACTTAGTGGCTGTTTCTTTTAAGAGGAGACCCAACTGTGGCACTGGCTGGACGCCAGGGAGGCAGAAGATAAATTTAAGGACTGTTATCTTGGGTTTGACTTCCAGCTTTGGAAGAACTTCAGAACTTGGCTTGCTTCAGTTTGTCGATGTGGTAGCAGAGTTTCAGGGCAGGTCCCAGCTTCAGGCCCAGGTACTTCATGATCATGTCACTCTTCAGCAACAATAGTGCATTGCCGTCAATCTCCTGGTGAAACAGGATCAGGAGAAAGAAAACCCAGAAGACAGTCAGAGCGGCCAAATAGTGACTACAGTCAAGGTGTGCTCAGAGGGTATGCTAAAGGCAGATGGGCTTACTAGACGGTGTATGTATACTCTTGGTTTAGGGCAAGTGCTTTAAAAATAATTTAAAAAGAAAATACTATGTCTTTCTTGTCCCCTAAGGGAGCATCTACTCTGTTACTTACTCCATGTCCTGGTAAAACAGTACAGAGGGGAAAATGTGCAGGCAGCTTCCAGGAGCCTCATTTTGGTGTTTACCTCATGCCACCTAGAAAGAAGGCCAGACTCACCCTGCCCAAACCTATCAGACATAGCCTTCATTTCCAGATCTGCTGTCAGGTAAAGTAAGATCTATGCCTAATAAGTGCGGGTGCTGAGTTAGAGAAGGCATTTCCCTGGATCTGGGATCTGAGAGTATGATTTTCATGACAAATGGCCAAGTAAAATGGAGGCAGGAAGGCAAACAACATGGTTACTGTGATAGGAATAATGTCCCCTGCCCCTGCTCCAAACATCGGTATCCTAATCCCTGGGACCTATGAACATGGTCGTTAAGGCAAAAAGGACGTTAAGGCTGCAGGTGGGGTTAACGTTGCTAATCAGATGACTTTAAAGTAGGGCGATTACCCTGCATTAGGGGAGGTTCGATCAGAGGGTCCTTAAATGTGAAAGAGGAAATCAGGAGAGAGCCACAGACAGACAGGGCAGCCTGAGATAAGCTTGATGTTCCTGGCTTTAAAGATGGTAGCATGGCGGGTGTGGGGGGGGGACAAAGGAATGAAGGAGGAGCTTGAAACTGGGAAAGACAAGCAAGCAGACTGTTCCTAGAACATCCAGAGAGGAATGCAGCCCTGCCCATACCTAGATCTTAATGCAGTGAGACCCTGGCCAGGCTCCTGAGCCACAGAACTACAGATAAGAAATTTGCATTGTTTCAAGCTTCTGTATTTGTAGTAATCTGTCACACTAGCAATCCAAAACTAATGTAGTAAGATGAGCAGATAAAGTGAGCCCTTTCCCTCCTTCATTTACCTTCCTTATGTATTTCAGAATTAGCTATATTATTATAACTGGATCTGCTACTGAGAGCACTTGGTAGGCAGAGGCAGGTGGATCTCTGTGAGTTCAAGGTCAGCCCGGTCTACCCAGTGAGTTCCAGATCATCTGGGAGACCCTGTCTCAAAAAGACCCCCCTCAAGAAAGGCTGTTGAATGCATGGACAGATGGATGGATGGCAAAAACAGGCAAGGCCCAAGTGACAGAACAGATGAAACAAATATCCCTTTGAAACAAAACCAAACGTTCTGCTCTGACAGTTCTATGGTTGCATTTGTCTCTCTCATGTCTGGCTTCCTCAAGGGCACCATTGGGGCTTAGTTCTGGCCACTAGCATCTGAGGGATCCTGAACTCCTCTCCTCCCACGCATCCTATTCCCTGGCCATCCCTCCAGGCCCATCACTTGCATACGTGCTTTCGGAAGAGTTCCACATGAGGCCCCAGAGCCTGAGGGTCAGCGTCTTTCATGAACTCGACCACATCCTCTACAGTCCAGGTGGAAGGGTTTCTGCTGCTTGGCCGCCTGGTGTCCTGCCCCTCTGGACAGGGGCTCGAGGCTGGAGGGAGAGGAGGGGAACCATGAACCAGTGAGGCCAGGCCTCAGTGCCCACGTGGTGCTCCCTACCTAGTTTGCCCTCCTCGACCTGGCCTGGAAGGAGTCCTTAGTGCCCTGGAGTCCATGGTTGGGCCAAGCAACTCCCCGTACCAGGGGAAGGTTGTGAGTATCCACTCAGGTAGGAGCAAGAAGTGTTAGAATTTCAGAATTTCAAGGCTGAAATTCTGGTCCAAGCTAGAGTTTATCTCTGCTCAGTTTTCTCTCTCTGTGACCTGGCCAGTCTGCTATGGCCTGGTACTTGGTGGGCTGGTGATCCCAGATGAGGGTGAAATGGGCCTCTGTGGGCTGTGGGGTCAAATGGTACCCAGCGCTCTCTGTGTCCCCTGGCTTCATACAGAGATGATGGCAATGTGGCAGAACTGAGGTGCATTTGGGTCGTCATTTTTTGTTTCTGAAGAATGATTAATCTGCCACTTTACCCTCAGCAGTTCTGTGATGCTCTGTCTCTGTCTGCCCATACAGAGAAAAGGTGTTGCCTTACTCACTGCCGGGGTTCTCATGGAGCACCACCTACTGCTCGAAAAGCCTTCACTCCTACCCTACCCCGCACTGCACTCTGAATTCCTCCACAGCTGAGGACCAGTCCCATGCCTGGTCCATGGCTGTTTCCTGGTAAATGACTTCACAGGCACCATTTCCCACACAGCACAGAAAAATGGCCAGGTTAGGTGAAAGAGGAAGAGAGGCGTGGTTTAGGCCCCTGGCCATACTGGCTATTCTGTTGGGTGTGTCTCAAACTTCTCTTCTAGCCCCACCTCCCGTTTCTGGAAACTCCTCTGCCTGCCCTCCTTCTTTGTACCTCCATGTTGGGCTTTTTTAGTTGTAAGGACGGTGCCTCCTAAGACGCCTGCTGGTCTTCTCCCTGCCTTCCCTGCTGAATCTTGGGTAACCTCATATTGCCTGTGATGGCCAATCTTCACTATCAACTTGACTGGATTTTGAATCACTCAAGAGACACACCTCTGGGTGAGTCTGTAAGGACGCCTTTCCAGAGAGGACCAACCCAGAATGTGGGTATACCATCCCCATGGGCTGGGTTCTCACACTAAATTGAAAGACAGAAACAGAGACAGAGAGAGCACACTAAGCATCAGCATCCCCTTTCTCTGCCCTCTGCTCCACCCCAACTTTGAGTAACTCCTGCCACACGCCTTCCTTGCCATGATGGACCATATCTTTAAACCATAAACCAAAAAGAAATTCTTTTTCCCTTAAATTGCTTCTTGTCGAGTATTTGACCACAATAAGAAAGATAAACAATGTGTCACTCTCTGTGGTGATTTCCCCATAGGCCCCCTTCCCTTTGCTCTTTTCTTTCTAGGGACTAGGACTGGCACTGCCTCAGGCCATCCCTGTCTGCCTCCGGCTGTCTCTGAGACTCGAGCTCCCCTTGAATGCCCCTTGCAATGTACTGTGTCTGCAGGTCAAGGGCTGTCTTGTGTCTCTGTAGTACCTTCCCTTCTTAGATGTTGGGAAAGAAGAGCTTTGGTGCCAGTGGGACCTAGGGACAAATCCTGGAGCTGCCCCTGCTCATGATTTCACCATGATGCATCTCATCAGGCAGAACATGGCAGCACTCTAGCCAGAGAGACTGGTGTGAGGACTGAAGTACGGTAGCACTGGGCCCTCTGGCTGACCTACCACAGGTGCACCACAAAGGGAAGGAGGCTCCCTGCCTACACCCCAGGTCTCTTATGCACCCATCTGGGCACATTCATTAGGGCCTATATTTCCCTTGCTTCCCTCTCCAACTCTTAGCTGACACTCTGACCTCTCTCTGGGAGGCATTTGCCTCCCTTCTTCCCACTGATCCTATCAGTCATCAAACCTTGGGGCCTGAGGGCTGGGGAGATGGCTCAGTGGATAAAAACACTTGCCACACAAGTATGAGGACTTGGTTTCAGTCCTTCAAACCCACATAGAAGCCAGATTCATAACAGAGGCACCTGTAATTCCAGTGCTTCTAAAGGGAGATGAGAGGTGACAGGAGAATCACCAGTAGCATGGGGAACACAGCAGAAAGACAGCAAGGAGACCCTGTCTCAGCGTGGAAGGGCAAGAACAGACACCCAAGGCTGTCCTTGGGTCTCCAAAGGAGTGGCACACACTCACCAAGTGTGCACACACAATACACACAAACACACCCATACATTGTACGTACATACACCAGTAAAATGGAAGGAAGGGAGAAGCCCAAGGGTCACCAGACTCCTTGAGCACTACGGCCATCAGTCCTGCTATCACCTGCCTCTCCGTTTTACTCCAGACTTTTGTTTGTTCTTCTTTGTAGAACAGTCACTCATGTACTTTTCTGTAGCCTTTGTTAAGATTTTAATTCCCTGAGAATCCTCCTGTTCATTTCACATTCATGTACCAAGCACTTTCCCTGGACTTAGTCTTGGGGGAGGTGTTGGTGAACAATATAAATGACAGCCTCTCATTACAGGGGTCATAGATCACACTGACCCCTCCACAGCTCTTCAGAAAACTGGATGCGATAACTGTGAAATGGATTGATGTATTTGCAGAAACAGCCTCGCTTTATGCAGGCAATCCTTACTACGACTTCAAGGCTAGAAAAAGACTGAGGTTCTAAACAAAGAGCAGCTTCCCTACAGGATAATTCTAAAGGAGGAGTAGCTTGCACATTTAATCTCAAGACAAAACAGTTTTCTGCTGTCTCCTTTTAATGTGCCTGGGAAGAGCCCAGTGCTCCATTAGTGCTGAGAAAACCACTGCATCACGTTTCTGAGTCTGTCCCACATAAATAATGGTCTGACTGAGAACTGATTTTGAGATTTTTTCCCGCCTTTTCCTTATGGGACCTGTAAGGGTCCCATAAGGTGGTCTGACACAGGCCATCTTGCTAGGAAACTGTTAACACACCCCAGAGCTATCTGAACACCGATGCATACTTATGAAAGATGATTTCACCCCATTTAAAGATATTTGTACTCAACATAGGGAAGAGGAATCACAGAAATCATATTTGTCTTCGGGGCCCACCCATCACAGCATGGCTGTATTAATCAGGGTGGTTAATAGATGTCCTGACAATAAAGACGGGAAGTCTTTAGTCTAAGAATGATTTTGGAGTGATAAGAGCAGAGGTCAAATCTAAATTCCTGTATTTGACAGGAAGGTAGGGGAGCTCAGACCAATTGATCTGGTACCACACAGGAATCTCAGACCCTCTGAGCAAGGTCAACAACAGCAATAGCTATCGGGAGTCAAGAAGGAGGAAGCTGCTAGTCTTTAAGGAGGATGATCTCGGTAATGGCCATGTGAACAGGCCACCATTGAGTCAAGCAAGTGTTCTTCATGCCTGGGACTTAGTGTTAGCTATGGGAATTGTTCACTTTTTTAGGATGGAGCAACAGCAGCCAGACTGACTCAGGAGTCTTTCTGAGGGGGGCCTCTTAGTCATACAAGACAGAGAGCAGTAGGTAGCCTAAATCACACCTCAGGAGCTGCTCACACAATATTGCTCTCAAAGGAAGGAAAATGGAAATTTCCAGTAGCAGGTTTGCAAAGCCAGTGTAGGTTCTGTGCTCGCCGAGAAAATAAATACACTGTCACACCCCCTTCCAGCTGCTGCAAGGTGTCAGGAAGACAGATGGGTCCTACCCAACACAGCCAGAGCTGAGAGATGTGATAGGTCAATACTAAGCCAGGATAGATTGAGCAAATCTTGCTCCTGTGTGGACAGAGTGTGAAGAACCCTCACCACCCACCCTATGAGAGGCAGCACTCTCTAGCACCAGGAATGCTATGCTTGGTCAGGACGCACCTAAGGGGCTGTGGAGACTGAAAAGTGAGACCTAGTGGTGAATGGGTACATAATTAAATCATGTTCCTAAAGCTCAATTCATGGTTAGCAGAAATAGAATGACTGATTCAGTGTTGAAAAGCAATCCCAGCCCCTCTGCAACACAGGTACTTGTATCACATCTGTGAATCTCTCTCTCTTACCCATTCCCACGAGTCAGACATAATTGCTTTTTGCTCATTCATAATTCAGGGGAAACTTTAGCTAACAATGGAGTCATGTGGGTGAGTGGAACAAGTGAGAGATGAGCCAGGAGTCCCACCAGCTGTGCAGAGGCCCCAGGCTTCTCAGAGTGCATGAAGGGTACCTAACAGTACCTCTGTGTTCCCTCCCACATCAGGCACTGTCTGACTCTGTGCCCCACAGGCTGTTGACACTTCTAAAGGCCTCAAGTCTGTGCCTCACCATGCAGAGTATGGGTTCCCAGGCTAGCCCAGAACCTGGATAGAATCAGGAGGTTTGAAAATGTTGTTTCATCTCCTACTACTCTGGTTTTTAAAATACTATGAGGTGGCTGGGTATGCTGGCACACGCCTTTAATCCCAGAACTTGGGAGGCAGAGGCAGGTGGATCTCTGTGAGTTCAAGGCCAGCCTGGTCTACATAGTGAGTTCAAGGCCAGCTGGGGCTACAGGGAGACCCTGTCTCAAAAAAAAAAATACTATGAGGTGACAGAGGCCAGAAAGTGGGGGAAGTCTGGCCATGCCTTCCTTCATTTTTATTTTATGTGTATGAGTGTTTTTCCTACATGTATGTTAATACCCACACCCAAGTCCTCTGTAAGATGAGCCAGTGCCCTTAACCAGTGAACCATCTCTTCAGCCTTACTCTTAGATTTTTATCAGGTTTTGCTATTAATCCTTCAAGACCAGCTGGTCTGCCAACATGACAGAAGATGCCTCTAGAGACCAGCAGGCAGTCTGGGCAACATTTCTTTTCAGCCAGCAACTGACACTGTGACCTGGACCCTGTGGCAAGCAATGTGCTCTGCCAGGGTCCTCCAGCCACCCCTCTTTCACAGGACCGCACCGTCACTTCCCTGGGGGGCTTTCTTGACTCCCAAAGTGAGAAGGTTCAGCAGCGCCTCCTGGTCTGATACTACCACAGCACCCACACTTTTAACCTTCAGCAGTAACTGCAGTTGTGAAGGAATGTGTGCAGTAACTTGCTAGCCTCTGTCTATCTGGAATGGGCTCCTCTCTGCCTTGTTCACCTTTTCAGAGCCCCTGGCCTGTGGTGCTCAGTGGACATCTGCTGACTAAAACACCCAATCTCGCATTGTTTACTTACACCTGCCCTGTTGGGCTGCAAGGATCAAACAGGATACAATTGTAACTGTCAGAATAGTTGATCGAAAGCTAGTTGCTATTCTCTTATGTCATTCCATAAATGGACAGTAGTTCCTCTCCCTAAATCCCACTACCACCAGTTCACTCCCCTGCTCAGAAATATGTGGTTTAAAATCACTATAAAGCAAACCCCCACCTTCCTGACACAAACCCCAAATCTTCCAGTGTGATTCTCCTTACGATTCCTGCCCAAACTCTCTTCTCCCCAGAATGAGAAAGCCTTTCCCACTTCCACAGATCCCAGCCATTACATGAAGGGAGCCTTGACCTCATGTTTCTTTATTTTAGCAGAATTGCTCTATCATTCCCCAACACCACATCCCATGGAAGCTGACTCCAACCCACAGGAAACATTTGAGTTGTAATAACAATGTCAGATTTATTTCACTTCTTGATTCTAAATCTTAGACCTGGTTGGGAATTCTATAGCATGTTCTGTTAAATGGGACAGCCAGGAAGCTTTTGTTATCTGAAACCTCTTCACGGCTCTGGCTGATGGCGTCTTGGATGAGAGACAGGGAAGAGTTCTCAAACATTCACCTGAACATCAGCGAACCCCAGGGAAACTGCGTCCTTCAGAGAGCTGGCAGCCCAACCTCTAGGTAGATCTATCATGACAGCAGGAGGTTGGGGTAAGGATTCACACAGGAGGGAGGGAAGGTGGCTGAGAAATTGGTCACGTCACCACTACCTCCCCTCCTGCCTGCAGTCTCACGCAGTTTTCTGGCTTCTGTAGTTTTAAATCATTTTGATTAGTACCTTAGAGAGAAAATCCATTTCTAGGTTTGTTTCAAGGTTTATGAGTTGGGTCAAACCCACTGGAAGAGATATAGTTTCTTAATGCCAACAGATTTCACCTAAGATGTAATTTCAGAGTAACTTTGAGCAGTCAAGGAGAGGACTTTATATCCTTTGGAGGACCCGTAGGAGGGGCACAGGCTGGCAGGTAGATGAGAATGGGTAAGGAGGCCGAGGTTTCTCTCCCACTTGTACATGCCACTCAACTCAGCATGGTGAACCGCCTTGGCTTTTCAACACAGGTAGCTGTGCAAGTGTAATTCAAGCAAGGCATTCATAGAACCCCCTTGGCAAAGGTGAAGAGGTCCTGGAGAGAGACATGGAAAGCCTAGATACCCATCTACTTTTACCCTTTTCTCCATCCCTTTCCACCTCAGAAGGAACTCCAAGAAATTTCACAAGCACAGTCCGAAGATCCTGGGGTGGTTTAGAAAGACCCAGACTTCAGAATCAGCTGAGTCAGTGTGGTTCAATGATTGACAGACCTTTTGATTCTCAGTTATAGTCAAATTCATATAGTAACGCTACTTCTTATAAGTAAATTATAAGTGTACAACTTATAATAAAGCATAAATAACAGGTGGAAAGTGGCCCATAGATGACATCTGTGCCCAATAAATGACATTTTAATGCAAGCCCCCTTTTGCTAAAACTTTCAGAATTCAGATATGAACGAGACACCTCACAAAGCTCAGGTCTTGTTCCCCTTCCAGGGACGGAATGTAGGAATAACTGAGGTGGGAAACAAAGTGCCAGAGGGAGGAAAATGGAGGGAATGAAAATTCCAAACGAGGAGGTACTACTGACACGACATCTCTTTCCCATACTTTCCTTTATAATAGAATCCTTGATTTCTACCTGGATCATGATGACCTGGAATTAAAATCACTTTTCCCAGTTTCTAAGATGTAAGCAGAAATGGAAAGCTCATTCGGAGTCACGTGGCAATACTCTCTGTTCCCTTTTCCTCCTACCTGTATCTTGCTACGGAGACTGTGTATATCTAAACAACTTTTGGTATTTAACTTTTAGCACCCTGCAGAGGCACCATAAATGGAATTCTTGGAGCACTGGAGAGTTCATATTTTCATTTTTTCTGCCCCTCAGAGCCACCTCTCCCTCAAGAGTTCCCTGCTTACCCCTCCAACCCCAGCCAGCAGAGACTCGCCAGGGCCATGCCGACCTGGCATGGGTGTGGCTGTTTGAGGGGAGTATGTAGAGGATATTGAATCATACGGAACAGCTCATGTGCGTGGCTCACAGCAGCCACTGGTGGATGGGTCCTCGGCCAGAGGAAAAAAAATGTGGCCTGTCAAAGTAGATATAGCCAGTCCAGTGAGTGCAGGGCAAGTTGAGGATTCCCCAACTGTCTGATCTAGAGCCTCCTGTAGTTGTTTCAGCTGTGGAGTGGACATACTGTTGTCTGTTGAGGGATGTGTTCATGGAATCTGTAGCCATTAACATTTATTGATCACTTACTATGCCAGAGGCCTTGTACTAAATACATATGTAGACTTATTTAATCTTTCCCATAATTCTATAAGGTAGGGGCTGATGGTATTATTCCAATTTCACAGGCAAGGAAATAGAAGACACTAGGATTTGAAAGGGACAGACAGCTAGGAAGCAACAGATGCAGGTTCCAGCCCAGGTTGTTTCATCCAGGAAATCATCCACTCTGCTATGTGGCCTCTTTCCATTAATGAAATACTGAAGGTTGAAAATGACTCTGTGAAGCAGGGGTGCCCAACCCTTAGGCACTGCGAATGCACTGTACCACATTCGGTGCTATCCTGGAATGCATATGGACCACAGGCTGCAGGTTGGACACAGCTGCTGCAGTGAGAACAGCCTCCGTGTTATCATTACTATCCTGTGTCCCTCTGAGTACTTTCTTATATTGCATTTCATCAAACTTCCTTTAGCAAGGGAGTCAGAAGAGGCATAATGACTACCACTGGGACACTTTTTTTTTCCTGTTTTTGTCATTAACTCACATCATGGAAGTAGCACCCACTACGCAAGAAACAATCTTTTGCCAAAGTGTGCTGCCTCTTTTTCCTATGCACAGAGCTAGGGTCTTTCCTAGTTAAATGGGATCTAGTGACCCAAACTTACCAAGGGATTTTGAGTGGCAGCAATGCGTATCTCTTCCAAGGTAGCACATGTGCCATCTCCACTCCTCTAGCCCACTTATGTCCACTGGGTACAGGAGTGTGGAGGCAGATGGGGATGCAGAGCCACAAAGTAGACAGAGCCTGGGTCCCTGCATTGAGATGTACCCACTTGGGACTCTTGAACAAAAAATCTTCTGTGGCATTTGATCCAGTTGATATTTTGGAATCTACTAATTATTCCTACCCTAATGCACCATTTTCTTTGTTTATGGTGAAAAGTTGATATTTGTTGTCTACAATAACAGAAATTCGTGAAGGGGCTTGTGGAAACTTTTGATTTCCTAGTGGTGCCATGTTCAAATAACCATTCTCCATCCTCATGCTGTGTTTCCAGGGCAGGGGTGGGAGAGGTTAAGCCAGGGCATGCATTACTTTACCACTGCTATTTCCTTCAATAGATGTCCCGTTCCTCTTGGGGCTGGAGGCTGGGAGCCTCAATCCAGGTGCCAGTGGGCCTCCAGTGGACATGAGATTGGTATGGAAACCATTGGTGGTGGTGGCAGGGCCTCCCCCAAGATGGCCATCTCCAGAGTTCAACCTCTTGCAGTACAGCAAGGGGGAGGGGGAAGAAGAAGAGGAGGTCAAGGAGCCCCTGGGACTAAAGGCGATGGAGGAGGGGTCCAGGCTGTAGCGGTTCATGCCCACTGGGCTTACCAGGCACTCTTCGGCAGTGGCTGCCTTGGCTAAGAAGTAAGGGGTGCAGAGAACAGAAGTCAGAGCAGTCCAGGAAGCTACCCCAGCCTCAGCCTTGAATCCTGTTCTGACATTACAGTCATTATCAGTGAGCACAAGCAAGGAGGCGTGAACTCACAACAGAGTTCCAAATGGCGCTGGAAGCAGAGTGAGACCCCTTCTCACTAAGAAGCCACACTTCTGTAGGAGAGCTAGGGCCTTCTGAGTTTAGAGAGAACAGTGGTTATCTCGGCTCTTAATAAACAACTTAGAAGTAAGTAACAACACAAACACCATATACAAACAAGACATAAAAAGATGGGAGGCAGTTAAGGCAGTGCTTAAAGGTAAATGTACAGGTATAAAAACAAAATTTAAAGACTTTATATTAATAACCTTTCACTTTAAGACACTGGGAAAATAAAAAATTAAATGTAAAGCAAACAAAAGAATAAAGATTTGAGCAGAAATTTATTCAATAGAAACTAGAAAATACCAGGAAAAAAAATTAAGGAAAGCAAAAGCTGGTTCTTTGAAAACATTATCAAAATTAACAAATCTTATAACTTACTTGATTTAAAAAAAAGCATAGGCGACTCAAGATTCAGATTCAGAAATTAAAAGGAAGGCATTTCTCTCAGCCTAACAGAACACAAAAGATTATTAAATTATACAATAAGTGACTGTAATAAGTTAGGTAATTTGAATAAAATGGCAAGCTGCTGGAGCCAATTCAGTAAGAAATCTGCGTACTATAGATGGGTCACAAGAGATTGAATTAGCAGTAACAACAACAACAACAACAATAATATAAAAACTACTCACAAAGAAAGTACAAACCCAAATGATTTTATGGGCAAACTTTACCGAAAATTTTGAGAAAAAAAACAATTATACACAAATCCTCCTTAAAAAAAAGCAAAAGGAAGAAATGCTTCCCAGCTCATTCTATAAGGCTAGTATCACCCTAGTATCCAATCTAAACAGACGTCATAAGAAAAGAGAACTACAGACATCTCTTATTTATATGGATGCAGAACCCCTTCCCAAATACTGACAAAACTAAACCAATAACATATAAAGGAGATTCACACCAACCAAGTAGGATATGTCTCAGGAACTGAGAGGTGACTGACTATCCAAAAGGAAATGAACATGCTCTATTGATAGAATATAAAAGCCCAAAGTACATGATCATCTCAATAAATACAGAGAAGCATTTGCCAAAATACAATACCTTTTGTAATAAATATCACTCAATAAGCTAGCACTAGAAGGGAACTTCCTCACAAAGGACAAAGGACTTGAATAGGAAATTCTCAGAAAGATTTACAAGTAGCCAATAAGCACATGAAATCCATTCAAGATCATTAGAACAAATGAAAACCAGAGAGGAGCTCTACTTCACACCCACTGGGCTTGTTACCGTGAAAAAGGCAAGGCCTGGGGCTTAGCTCAGTGGTAGAATGCTTGCGTAGAACATTCATGGCCATGAGTTTAATCTGTGGTACCACAAAACCCCAAAATCAATCTGTAACAAGTGCTGCAAAGAATTTAAACTCCCATACACTGCAGCCACTTTGGAATACAATCTTTACATAAGGTAGAATTACCACATGACTCAGCAATTGCATTCCTAGGTATATACCCAAAAGAAATAAACATGTGTCTATACCAAAACTTGTGCATGAATGTTCATAGTAGTATTATTCATAATAGCCAAAAAAGAAAAAGGAACACTATTTACTGTTGAGTGGATTACATCTATAAAGTGGAATTGTTTTAGCATAAAAAAGAATGATGCACTAGTATATATAACAGTGTGGATGCACCTTAAAACATTATGCTCAGTGAAAGAAGCCAGCCACAAAAGGTCACATAGTAAATGATTCCATTTATATGAACTGTTCAAGACAGGCAGAGACAAAAAGGAGCTTAGCAGTTGTTTAGGGCTTGGGGATCAGGGCAGAAGATGCGATACCTGAAGGATATGTGGTTTCTTCTTGAAGTGATGAAAATACCCTACAATGTACATTGAACTGTACTTTGCATGGGTGAATTTGGTGATATATTAATTAAATCCCAATAGAATTATTTTTGATGAGGTCACTAGCAGAAGTACAGTGTTTTTGCACACTGGAAGCTGTGAGAAAATTCTCAAGAGCTTTGTGCCATCAACTTTGGCAACGCCGTCACTAGGACACAGAAGGCTGAACAGCCTAAAGGCACTTTCTGTGTGGCATACAGTGTACCTGAAGATGTGCTCGGGATGTCTACAGGAAGCTGGAGCTCAGCATCTTCACCTTGATGGTCTCTAGTGTACCTCTTCCCTTTGGATCAGAAGTGATCAGAATGAAGCGTCTAGAAAGGACCATGAAGCTATGTACTAGGCTGCTTCCAGAATGGACTGAGAGGGAACAATCATGTTTACTGACTACGCACCATAGGGCAGCACCATTCTAAAGCCAGTGAGCAGACTATATTCCATTCATTAGGAAGTTCTCATAGCCAGAGATACCAGACCTTCCCTTGTGGCAAGTGCTTTGGTATCTGTGGGGGGCGACAGTGTCTGCCATGGACCTTAACAGAGGAGAGCTCAAGCAATATTTACTGGGTAAACATTTGAGCCAGTGTTAGTTGGAACACTGCCATTACCCAGAAGATGCATTAAAATTTATGTTGTTAAGGGTTGGCATAGAATTTCATGTAGATTTGTGATAAACAATGAAAACAATATTTAATAAAACACCCCATATATTAAATATTTTAAATCTAAAGTGAATATGCCCATATTGTTCTGATAGCCTCATGTAGAGAATGCAGATAATTCGGCCATCTAAGTTTGGAAATCTCAGAAACAGATGGACAACCAGTCTCTTATGGCCCAGTATGGGAATGGAGACCACAGGAATGGATTTTATTGTTTTAAAAACTGCTGATGACCCTGGGTGAGAGCATAGGTAATAAAAGCCAGTCTCCAGGCTACAATCCAGAGGAATTCATCAGAAGACAAAAGTGACCTCAGAGAGCACCGAGCCAGAGCACTCTGCCCAGTAAGGGATGCTCCGGTAACTCCAAAGTCCACCCATGTGGGCAACTATAGGACAAGTTACCACACCTCAGGCCTGGCTTCCAGGGGACATGAATGAACGGCATGTTTAGATGCACAGACTGGGTAGTTTTAGAATTGATGCAGTGAGCCAGGCCTCGGGGTGAGGACTGTAATCCCTTTACTTGGAGACTGAGACAGAAGGACTGCAAGTTCAAGACCAGCCTAGGCAACTTGAGACCTGTCTCAAAAAATTTTTCCAAAAGTTTTAAAAGATAGACTGGGGTATAGCTCAGCAGTGGAGTGGGAGACTAGCAAGTAAAGGCTCTAATTTTAACCCCTGGACTAGGGCGGGAGGGAGGGAAAGAAGGAGGGAGAAAGAAAGGGAGGGAGAGAGGGAGGCAGGGAGGGGAAAAGAAGAAAGGAAAAAAAGAAGAGAGAGAAAAAATGTTGAAATGTTTGGGTTTGCTCTCGGTTTACACAGGATTTTCCTTACCTGTATCAATGGAGTCCACACAGCTTAACCAAGTATGAAATAACAAATGCATTATGAGATTGTTATCACACTACAAGGCCAAAAGGGACCACTCACTCAGTCCAGAGATACCCTGGTTTCAAATGTGTCCCGCTGGTGGGGCAGGCCACAACTTAAGGTACAAGAGGAGCTGTGGCGATGATCACAAACTAGGTGGCTGAAAAGAATAGCAAGCTTTTTCTCAGGGCTCTGGAGGTTGGGTGCAGAATGGAGGTAAAGCAGATTGAGCAGCCTTCTGGGGTCTAGGGATAGGGGAGGAGCCTTCTTGCCTTCTGTGGTCCCCTACAACTATGGGCATTCCTTGGCTGCAAGTGCACTCCTCCAGTCTCAGCCTCCCTCCTGTTCTCCCTGTGAGCAGTGTCTATACCCCAGTCTCCCTCTGCTTTAAAATACCCCAGTCCCAATCAATAGGACCTCATCAACTAGTCACATCTGCAAAGACCCTACTCCAAATAAGGTCCCATTCACAAGTACTCAGAATTAGGATTTAAACATACATCTTTGGGGAGAACACAGTTCAGATGAAGACAGCAGGCAAATGTGTTGTAGTGGTGCTGTTTGGAGACAGGATCTCACTCAGTAGCCCAGGCTAGTCTGAAACTCACAATGTAGCCCAAGCTGAGCCTGGAAATCATATCAGTTCTCCTGCCGAGTATGAAGATTACAGGTGTAAACCACCACACTTGGCTGTTAATTTGTTATAACCATGAGTTTTGATATATATCCATGAAATGTAATTTGCACATCAATGATATCAATACCATATCATTGCCTGAGCTGATGAAAGGCTTGTTAAAAGGAGTGAATTAACTGAAAGGAGTATCTTGAGTAAACAGTCCTATAGTTTTTACTCGGACATAGTAAAAACTTAGAAGGTAGATGTTAGCATTGAGAACAGGCTGAGCTGCATCTAACTTTTGTCTTCTACAGCTGGTAACTGAGCCTCTTACTTAAATCTTCCCCAAAGAATTTTACAGTCTCCCTCAAAGTTAGACCACTGTGCTACAAATCAACTATTGCCTGAATCTTCTTTCTTATATATAATTCCAATTCCTCTTGCTTTAATTTTAAAAATGATTGCTGCATACATGCTCTTTATACTAGTCAAAAATCATGAAGTCATTCAACATGCAGGTAGTTTAATTATAGGTAGAGAAAGTACTACTCTGTTCTAATAGTTTTGTGGTTGACCAGAGAGTGAACACCAGATGGAGCCAGCAGACCTGAAATCATCTAGAATAAGCATTCTCTGAGGACCCACCTTCCACACACAGACTCCAGGAAACCACAGAGCTGGCAGGTGAGGAAGCTGGTGCTCGCTCACTCCTGGGTCCTCACAAAACTGCTTCTCATCTGAAGCAAGCAACCTGCCCCAGTGAGAGGATCCAGCCCAGCCTCCTATGAAGCTGTTTAATGGCTGAAGAAAA